ACAAACTGCAAATATCTTGCTAGAGGACACGGTTGAGGGTGATAATCACAATAAACAACAATAAGCTATGCAGATTTAGCTAATTCTGCATTTATTGTTGATTCAATGCTGTCCAATAGTCCAAACTCTGTGTCGACACTGCTGAAGGTTGGAAAATGGCAAATTTGTAGATTGTATTCTCTCCCGCAGTAGGTCAAAGTGTGTTTTTCTCAGTCGTGGAGAAATACAATGAACTTTCAAACGGCTAACCGGGGTTGTTGCAGGCATGCATCAGAGCATTTCTTTGGACAAACCGTTTCAGAATGGAATGCTGTGACTACGAACCGAAAAGGAATGACTGATGGGCATTATTCGTAGTTACCACCGAAAAAAACTCGCTTAAGGTTACATTCCGCATTTCTACCGATAACTCATAGGTAGCTGATTTTCGATGGCTATATGGTCATTCGCGTCAACTGGGTGGTCAAGTCCTTGGAAATTGCAAAATAAAGTTTTTCTGTTGTACAGCTGACCGACGGATGACATTGACAATTGTCCGAATCGTTCTAGAATGGAGCTAGTTGCAGGTGAGGGCATTTTCTTTAACTATGCAGAACTACATAAGCCTGAAACGCTCGACTAGTGAAGCAGTGGTAATCAAATTCTGACTTGTTACTCTATTACTTCACGGTCAATCTGACCCAGGCAAAAGATGCCGGCGAAAGAATTGAAATTCGCTATCAGTATTATCCTCGACGAAACTTAGTAAATCTTTTCTTCAACCTCTTTCCTGTGAATGGGGTTTCTTGCTAGACCTTGTGAACTGAAGATCAGGATGCTGCTGGATAATGGTATCAGAAATAGGGAGAAGAGAAAATCATTTCTGCTGTTTTAATGGCTCAAGCTAGAAAAATGATACACAGAAGTTGTCCAGATTTTTAAATGGTGTCTAGATGAATAATGGATACATTTGCCATTGAGGCATTGATTCAATACTTGGTCTTTTGAGTTTCGACACTGTCTGCCTGAAGCAATTTGCTAGATGCTGGAATGGAATTTCATGAGTAGCAGACCAGAGAACAGACACCCGTCAATCCATCTGTTTCGAGCATTCTCATCTTGGGATTGGTCAGCATCTGTATTGCGCAAGTATGGACAGTGGTCCTTTAAATGCGTTTGTATTATTTCGCGTGGAAAATGGAGTTCTTATCAGAACAACCGTTAGTAACCTGTGAACCATAACAGCGTCAGTGCGTTGTTAGCAGAAAATCAGAATTACAAAAATTTGGTAAAGCCCCCGGCTAAATAGAACTGTCCCAGGGAAGATTTGTGTAACAAGATGTAAAATATTTCATGAGTCGAGATTCGTCGCTTCAAGGCAACTGCCTCGAGTAAAATATGCTCTTTTACATAGTTTATCCAGATATTAAATGCCACACTTTGGTGGTAGCCGCATTCCGAAACATGCGCAAAACCTAGGGTTATGGAAAATATATAAGGAAGGATAATCAAAAATGGCCGTCTGAGGCTGGCTAAGCCTGAACTGCAGATGTGCCAAAAATCAAA